CTGCCTTCAGCTCAGGTCATGGTCCCAGGGTCCTGGGATGGAGCCCCAGATCGGGCTCCCTGCTCTGTGGGAAGCCTGCTTCTCCCTCTCCCACTCCCCCTGCTTATGTTCCTTCTCTTGCTGTGTCTTTCTCTGTCAAATAAATAAATTTTTAAAAATAAAATAAAAAAATAAAAGAATTCCAGTGAATCAAGTTATTTTAAAATTATTGCCCTAGTTTTTGGCCTTCTTATAAATTTCCAATCAACATGTTTTGAATTATCTTATGAAAGTGACATCTTTAAATTTATTCCCTTACCTTCATCTTTAAGTACTTTTTCTAAACTGCTCATTTAATGTACTAGATGAAAAAGCATATTTAAAAACATTAATTTTAATTAACAGCTGTTAAAAACAAGACAACAGTCCCCAAACAAAGTCATTTAAGCCCCAGGTCACCAAACCAGACGTAAATACATTTTTGACTCTCCCAAAAATGGAATCTTAAACCAGTTCAATCAGAAATCACCTGATGAACACTGGTTAGGTCATCTGCCTGGGAGACCTCTACCATCTCCTAAAGGAAAGTCACTTTGCAATAAGCAATACACTTTCTCACCAATATAAATTCCTAGTTCCTGCTCCTTTCTGCCTATGAAAGTCTTTCATTTTGTACAGGTCCTTGGTGTTCCTTTCTATCTGCTAGACTGGATGCCGCCCAATTCAAATTGATTTCTGCTCAAATAAACTCTGAAAATGTTTAATATGCCTCAGTTTAACTTTTAACACAGCTAAAGACTTCAAAGTGTCATTTTCCTTTATTAAGGTTTTGGAAAGGTCTCTATTATATGTTCTCAGGGGGAACAATGAACTCTAATTTAATTTACATAAAGAGATAAATATAATCCATCTGTATTTCATCATAAACCTGGCAGAACTAATTCCTTAAAGTCTGACTATAGCAGGATTTTGCCAGTTCTGGTTGCCCTAGACCTGTTAAATAACACAATTCAACCAAGTGAATTTGAAGATCTAATTGGCTTTATTAAACAATTCATGGGTCTGATAGCACCCCATCTAGGAAGCAGACAGGTGCTCTGAGGAGGTGTCCAAAATGGAAGGTCTTTAGACAGAGGATGGGGACAAGGAAGTTATTAGCAAAACAAAAGGATTGTTCCAGAGGAAGCTGTTTGCTAGGGGAAAAGCAAGGGGTCTTCTCATGCAGATTACATCATCTTTCTTTGGGGGATAGAGAGAAGCAGGTGACAGACTCCTTAGCACCGATGAAAGGAAACATTTCCTGACTGACCGGTGAAGGCCACATTTCTTGGGGAGGTTGAAACTGCAATTAGATTGGGTATTAAACTCTGCTTTGGGAACTCTAAGTGACACCATTTGGGGCCTGCAATTTTCTCTCTCTTTTTTTTTTTTTTAACAATTTTCCCCTCTTGATCACATCTCAGTTTGCAATGTGATCAGATTTGCAAGCATTGGGCGCCTGGGTGGCTCAGTTGGTTAAGCGACTGCCTTCGGCTTAGGTCATGATCCTGGAGTCCCGGGATCGAGTCCCGCATCGGGCTCCCTGCTCAGCGGGGAGTCTGCTTCTCCC